CCCCCCCACCGGAACCCAGCGTGACGTCACATGGTATGGAATACCGGGCTCTGTTTGGCCAGGTGGGGTCAGCCCCCACCCCCCGGCTGTGCCCCTTCCTGGATTCCGGTGAAAATTAACCCTGTTCTGGCCAAACCCAGGACAAAGCTCTCCCCTGCTCTTGTGTACGAGGAGGCTAAATTTCGCCAGAACCCTCTGCTAAGGTTTGTAACCTGGAATCAGTGCGCGGATCCACCCGGGAATGCCAGCAGTCCATACCCACCAGCCACGCAGTAAGTGCCCAGATACACCCAGAACACAGGACTGAGACAAAGCTAGCGCTGAGCTAAACCACTGTTAAATCGGATTTTGCTTCTCACTTGTTTAGCACAGGGTCTGTTAAACTACAGCCTGTCTATCCCTCTGCAGTTTAAGGAAATTCCCTGAAAAGGTATTTGCTTCTCCCTAAAAGAAAGGACAAGTACTTTATTATGTAGTTAGCACAAGAACTTGGATTCACAGAAATACAAAGCAGCTTTACTACAAGACAGTTTAAGGGAGCGAGTTCCAAGTCCTTCTGGCACAAGGAAGACGCAGGACATCGGCGTCCTGCTCACTGCGGCTTCTGGCCTGGCTGCTCCTGCGCGGCCTCGTCCTTACTGTCCTCTACCGCACGTTTCACCGTTCTGTATTTTTCCCAGGGGTGGGGGGTCTCCTCTCCTGCCATTTTTTTTAACCACCGATAGTAGTAGCCGCGGAAACCATCAACTTTCTCCAGATACGGGTTCTTTGACTTATACTGCAAACAGAAATCCAACAAAACAAGTTTCTGTTAGAAGAGAGCTCGCTCCAGCACCAGCACGCGATAGCCACGCGCTGCTAAAGGAACGGCTGTCAGCCAGAGCAGACACAGCCAAAGGAAAAAGGCTCGGGCAGACGCCCGCGGTTCCCCTCCCTTGCCGGTGTCCTCCGCGACACCGTCATGCTCTGACCCGTCGTGGCTGCTTACCCTGTCCAATTTTGGAGGGTGCCGTGCTGCGAACTCCAGCTGGCGGATGATAACTTCATTGGGAGGCACCTGGTTATTCCTCATGTCGCGCAGGATCTCTGTCAGGTAACTGTAATCCAGCTGCCTCACAGCGGCAGCGATGAGGGTGCTGTAGATGTACTTGTTGGGAGTTACTCCAGACCTCTGGAAGCAACAGATGCTACAGTTAAAGTTGTAAACTGCCCACTAGTGCAGGATTTCTAGAAGGAAAAGGCACGCAGGCGTTGCTTACCCAAGGAGCAAGGCTCTCGCTCCAGAACCCATGTAGCAGCTTCTCTGGTGCCAGCACACCCCTTCCCATGAGCCCTCTCCTAGCCCAGCACAGGTATCGGACAGACCACCTGAGCGGGCACCTACTCTAGAGATGCGTGGTTTTGGAGCGGGAGCACAACCCCTCAGCACAGAAACCTCAGCAGGTCTTTTTAGAAGCGTTGACGCTTCAGTCTGCCTCTTCCTGCAGCTCAAATCCCACCCAGCAGAAGTTTTGTTATTACCTTCAAATCTGAGAGTAGCTGCAGTCCGTCCTTCTCCTGGTGGCAAGCGATTGCCAAGCTACAAAATGTCTGGAGGTCAGGCGACAGCCCCCTCTTCACCAGAGCCGGCAGCACGCTCTGCAAGATACAAGCGTTGGCATCAGTCTCCAAACGTCTGGCTGTAGCTTTGCAGACAGAGAGCTGACGCTGCTAGAACAGAATCCATAGACACTTAGAAATTAACGTGAGCACTGGTTTGTGGCAACCGGTGTGAGATTCCCAGTTTCTACTGCAGGTAGAGAAACGGGTCTCACAGCGAAATACAGGTGACACTGGAGGCCTGAGACAAGGAGGTGGTGACGGGGCTGGTTCTGAGTTTTTCTCACCTTTGCTCCTTCCAGGTCTCCCTGTTTACTTTTCTTCCTTATTAAAGTGTTGAAGAAGGTCACATCTACTTTGACTTTATGCTCATCTAGGAGTGCCAGCAAAGGCTCCGAGGGCCTTTGGGGTTCCACCAGCTCAGCCAGTAACGTAAACGTTTTAATGTTGGGTGCTGCATTGTCCTCTTTCATTTTACTCAAGAAGCCCTCCACGTCCCCCATCAAGGCCAGTCGATGGGACGGCGTGGCCACTGTCCCCAAGGAAACCATGGCTGCATCAGGCATCCTGGAATCCAGCAAGTTGGGCAGGCTGCAGAAACGCTGCTTCTGGCTTCCACGTGCTTGTTCCTGCTCCACCTTGTTGTGGCCTCTCGTCATCAACGCTCCAGCCTGGCTGTGAGCTATGCTGGGGCTGTCGAGAGCAGCTGGTTCTGTCTCAGCCCCATTCACATCTTTATTTTGTTGCCGGATCAGTTCTTCAGGCTGCACCGAACTCTCCTGAAATAACTGCTTTTCCATAGCTTCCACATCCAGCTGGACAGCAGCCGCGCTCTCTGATCCCTGCTTCTTCTGATTTTTCACCTTTTCCTTCTGCCTCCCGGGTGCAAGCCGCAGCTGGGACGAGTTCTCATGGGGGGGTCGGAGCAGGAGCTCAGAAGCCACGGCCGGATCACCTATTCCACAGTCTCTCGCCGCGCGCAGCATCAGATTGTAAGCGTGGCTGTCCGCCTTTATTCCAAGTTTAGTCATTTGTTGCCATACCTGCAGAGGGGAAGATGAACACCAGGTGTAGGTGATATTAAACAGAAGCAGCATTTCTAGCAGGCTGTAAGCGTCTCTGCCACACCCACTGTTACAGTATCGACTTGCAGAAAAGGAGCGAGCTTACAGCATGACGAGGTGAGGTCCCCCAGGACAGGGAACAGCCACCTCGAGCTACTACAGTCCTGCGGGACCATCCACGGTGGTTTGCCAGCGTAGGACGCGTCCTGAAGGAAGTCTGGTTTACAGAACTTCTGCTAGGAGGAGCTGAACCCCTGCTATTTCGTGAGTTCTGAGCAACCCGCTGCCTTCTCCGTGTTCAAGTAATGAGTTACAGCACAGAAGCACTTTTTCCTCCCTGCTTAGAACATGAAGACAAACCTGTAAGGCGTATCGGAAGCCATTTTCGGTGTCCTTTATGCAGCTCATGAGAAGGAAGCTGAAGGTCTCGACTGTGGGAACGTGGCCCTTATGCACAATTTCCTAAAAGAGGAGAGAGAGCATTGAAGTTCCCAGACAGTCTGTCACAGCTGGCTGTGAAGCTCAAGTACCACTGTTGCCTTCTGGGGATGGAGCAACGACAAAACTCAGGGAGAACTCCCACTGATGTGAGCAGAGTGATCGCTCCAAGAGAAAAAAGAGCCCCCAAACGCCTGCACAGATCCTAGCTTCTCCCTACGGGAGCTATGGGGAGTTGGAGGCAGGAACTGCAGTCCTTTTAGCTACTCCCAGACTGACCCTTCTGAGGAGAGCTTCTGTGAAAGCTCTCGAAGGAGCTAGGTATCAATATGTGGGTCTTCAAAACAGACCGAGACAGACACAGTAGCTGTGAACCCCACAAAAACATTGTTCCTTAAAGTCTTTAACACACCAGACCAGAGTTTTAAAGCCAACCTCTGCAGCTGCCTCTTTTTATGTACTTCAGCTTAACGTTTGCTACGTACCAAAACAATTTCATTTTGTGAGACCAAGGATCAATGAAATATAAACACATGATCTGTAACCACCTCTGCTGGAAACGAAATGGAGAGGTCTAAGCAACACGGCAACTTCCAGGAGCTTTACCCGGAGCAGGCTACACTTAATATATTGAGAGAAGTCACGTATTTACCTTGAGTACGTCAAAGCTCATCCTGAGGTCGGAGCACAGGGCGCAGACCTTCAGCAGCGCGTGGTAGGTGATCAGGTTCAGCTCTTCGTTCTTGCTCTTCAGCTGCTGCTGTAATTTGAGCGCGCTCTGCAGGCCCGAGTCCTTCCAGGGCGATTCGGCACAGGCATTGAACAGGGCTGTGTAGGTGGCCTCTGTGGGAGTTAAGCCTCTTTTTTTCATCTGAGGGAAGAGAAGGAGAATCAGAACCAGCTTTTTAGGAAAGGACTGCTGGAATTTCATAACTTGGTTTTAAGAGTTTCAGGCTGAGATGCAAACGCTAACTCTAAGGCATTTCGCAGACAAAGTAACGCAACCAAACGCTTGGAACAGTTTTAGCTTAGAAAACGTAAGGAAGGTTTGAGAAAGGAGAAAATGTGAACCTACATCGTTGTACAGCCTGAATGCCTTTTTCACGTAGCCAACCCTGCCGCAGCCGCCAATTAGAACAGTGTAATTGCTTTCTTCCGGAGGCAGCCACAGAATCAATTACAATGGATCGTAATATACACAGCTGTGGGCAGGCTGTGGTAGAAGTCCTACAGAGCACGGGATGCTCACAAATTCTTATGTTGCTTCTTTCTGTAAAGATACTAAGTGACCGGACAATGTGGGTGGGACAGAGCTGCAGGGCTTTGGGATGAGAAGTGGCGGTGGGCAAATATTAAAGCCAGGACTGCTAGAGGGGACAGCAGACTGATGGGATGGTGACAGGGCTGAGGAAAGGTACAGGTTGCCCAGGGAGGTTGTGGATTCTCCTTCTCTGGAGATATTCAAACCCTGCCTGGACAAGGTCATGTGCAGCCTGCTCTGGGTGACCCTGCTTCGGCAGGGGGGGTTGGACCAGATGACCCACAGAGGTCTCTTCCAACCTCTACCATTCTGTGAAAGGCTCCATTTGGAGAAAAAGTAAGTGTCTGGCCATGCTCCACACCGCTGGGCTAACTCCATTGCTGGTTTCGGGGGCAGGCAGAGGAAGGTGGAGCCGTCTGCGCGGCCCCATCGCCCAGGCACTGCTGGCGGGAGCAGAGGCCGCCTTTCCCCCCAGCAAGGCCGCGCTGCTCCTCGCTCATCGCGTCGCATCAAACCCCAGAGGGA